GAAGCCGTGACGACAACTACATCACAGCTCCAACTTCTCCGCCCCCAATCCTGCCACCGCCCCCATTCTTGCCAGCTTCGCGCCGACCACTTACACCACCATCAACCCAGCTCTCACACCTCACCGCCCTCGGAACTTTGGCTCGTCTCCCACCAGAACTCCGCCGCCGCATCCTCATCGCCGCCTTTGGCAACCGAGCCCTACACCTCGACCCCCGCCTTCCCCCTCCTTGCTTGCTTGTGAAAGACATTTTGAATGGTTGTGTTTGAGGAGGACTGGGATGATGAGCTATGGTTTTAGGTCTGGCTGGAAACGTTGTTGTTAAAGACTCAGTGCTGGGATGAAGATGAATGTGGCTCTCTCTGGCAAAGAATGTTTTGCCTGGTTATATAGTAGTCCCTTGGATGAGCCAGCGCGGTTGTAACTCTAACCAAAACCTTCATGACAGCAAAGTGAATGTTTGGTCATGTCATGTTACTGAGCCTGTCAGGAGTTGCGGTTCCGTAGAAAGGGGTCAATGGTACGGATATCAGTAGTGCAACCCAAGCATCTCATCAGGTCTATCTTTTCGCTGCCATAACTCCAAATTCCAAGTGATCCTGGGCCTTTGTTTGCCTTGTTTCTAGCAAGTCACCTTGTGGAAACCTGAAAAGGGGCTGACTGATCCTGATTGATGCCAACACGCCTTTGAAACCTTGCAGTTATCAACCCCATGAGAGTTTAGTAGAAGGAACCACATAGGACAAATGCCACCTACATCGAAATGGAGTCACCGGGGTATTTTCTAAAGTTTAAGACATCTCCTTAAAGCCCGAGCGTCCTTTCGCGCATCTAAGCCAACCCCATAGAGCAATTCTTAGCTCTCTTTTGGTCCCGACGGGTGTATCGCCGACAATAAAGATGCCATTCATCCAATAGTGTTGATTTGCGGAGCAACGGTAGAATTAACTTCAGACAAGCCCTCCATTCACCGAAATGCGGCCCTGCCTGAAAATATAAATCCGCCCACCATGAGCCCTCGCGATCTTCTTTTCCTCAAACAACAATCCTCTTCGATCAGCTTGAGCCCAGCCCCCAAGCCAACGCACATCACCATGGCGTCTTCTATCAGCGAAGAATACACGGTCATTCTCACAGCGATGATGACAAGAGACATTCTGGATCTCGGTATGGGCGCTAAGAGCAAAGAATCCGCTCTTGAGATATTGTTGGAAGAAGTAGCGCAAGTCATGGCCGCTCTCTATAAAGCCAACCGTCACCCCAAGTATGTTGCCGCAGCATACGTTGAGCTCCTGGTTGCCAAGTTCATCTACACCCAGTGTGATAAGTTCTCTCTCTCTCTTTCTGTAATGCCTTCACCCGTGCGTATCGCTGACTTCTGTGATATATGTAGGATATATCGAGTCGCTCGTGAGCCAGCACCTGCTACAATGGCAGTTCGCTGAAAGCCTTCCCGAACACGGTCTCCAACCGCTACCTTGAGCTTCTCATTTTGTAAGTCTGTCTGTACGCAGTTCAGTAAGGATCTCAGCCTACAAAACTCGGTTGTTAATACCAGATTTCACTAACAAGATCCCGGACGGCAGGCTACACCGATGAGGAGAACCCGCAAAATGGGCGGCCGAGCCGGCGGCTCGGCAGCTTCCCCCTGAAGGCCATGTTGTAAGTCTTCGACTCCGAGTCTCTTCAAACCCAATTAAATCTATTCCTGACGATCAAGGACGCTGAAAATACCGCGGTGAGAAAAGGGCAAGGTTTCCTGTGAGGCCCAGGTATATATGGGCGATCTCATCCGTTCGGTGCGAAGAAAAGGGGGCGAACATGAACTTTGCGTGAAGTCCAAGGCTGGGTCACTCATCATTTGAAGGAACCAGCATAGCTACAAAAGAAAAATGAAAGCCTAGCTGCCTAGCTGCCTAGACAGTACTCGCGAGTCCAATAGCGACCGACCTCCCTACACGGGGAAAATCCTCCCGGCTGACACACTCCAATCTTGATGCACCAACCCCCTTTTCGCCGATCCCTTGGCCACAACGCCAAAGTCTCACACGATATCCATCTTTCTCAGCTTCACACCACCCACAGGGCCGCTCTCATCGCGGGCAAAGGCGCATTCATAGGCCCTCGGGACCTGCAACCAGTCAGCCAACATCGGCCCCTGATCTCAAGACGATCAACATACCGCAAAATCCCGCGCCCTGCCTTCCTCATCCAGAACCCCCTTCTCCTGCCCCTCCTCTCCTCCCACAAAGTCAAGGTAAATTCTCCCCATTGCCCATCCCTCATACCCTCTCTCGGTATCTCCATGTAAACCACATCCCATTTCCACAGTCGACTTCTCGTAGAGCCTCAAAGATGCAACGCCTTGGCGGCAGTTTCGCCCACGAATGTATGTCCGTCAAAGGAAACGAGCTCAAAGTCGGGGGTACGCCACTCCGTGCAGGGCTGGGCGTTGGTGGTGTTTCTCGTTTTCAGTTGTTGTGAGTGAAGGCTTCGATTTTGAAAGGATGAAGTGGTGGAAGGGTGAGTTCAAGTGAGAGGGTCGAGGACCGTCAGGGGCTTATCTATCCGGAAATTGAAGGCAGCGATAGTTGTCGGGATTGCCGTGTTGCTTCAGAAAAACCATCAGGTGATGGTCATGTTGCTGTTCAGCGATGAGGCCTACGGTGCACAGTTCAGCTGGCAGCCACATCGGTCGATGATTGGTCTTCCTCTCGACGTGGCTTGCAAGACGCTCCAGCCCAGGTTCGCTCTGCCAGCAGCGTCAAACCTTTTGTCGTGGGTGCATCGAAGGATTCTGGTGTCTCGAATGATTCTGGTATCCAGAGCGGTTTGTGGCACGATCATATCGCCAGTGGCACCCGACCACTTTAGGAGGCCAGTGAGAAAGCATGGGCAGGCAGGCGACAACACTGTAAGTAGGGAGTGTCCGAGTCTGAACGATGACTCCGATTCCCAAGAATGAACCATCAATGGTCTGGGCTGGTGGCTGGATGTAGGGAGAATTTGACATGCGATGATTTGTGGAATCCGGAAAAGAAACGCGCGCCGCGACACGGGCCAGCCAGAGCTGTGAAATTGTACAGTTTCCACTGTGGACCTCCGCACCAGCATTTTCCTTTTCGTCCACGGCCCTGTGCGCCGAGACAGAATCAGGCATCAAACTCAAGCCCCCACAGTTTCTCACAAGGAAAGCTCAACGATTCGGATACAAAACAGCGCCCTTACCACCAACTGACTGAATATTCCAGAGGTCAATCCTCACTCACGCCAACGATCATGGATTCCTCCCAACATCAGCGGCGCGCCGGCCCCTCGGCGATCCCGAAAGCCACCTCGCCCTCTTCCAGCAACTCCTTCAATCCGTGGCGAGGGAGTCAAACCTCACCGACTTCACCTTCACCTGCAGAGGCACCATCCCCATCCAACTCGAAGCAACCGCATCGCAGATCCCCAGCTAGCCACTCCCGAAGGAACCCCCTCCTAACCCTCCCGGGTCCCAAGACATTCATGGACCCCCTGGCAAGAGACCAAAATTCGCACACCTTTTGCCACCGCATCTCTCCCCTCGTGAACCCGTTCCGCAGCTCCCAGAAGAGCCTTCTCGCAGCAGCCCTCCTGTTCATCTGAGATGGGACTCCCAAGACGTCACTGCCCCGGCTTCTCGTACTAAACTCACCTTCCCACTCGATCCAACCACGCAAGGAAACCTCCAGCAGCTCCTAAAGGACATGCAGCCCGCGACCTTCGGCCTCAGCGGTGTCGGCGTCTAAGACGAGTCCTACCGCAAAGCTACAAAGCTGGACCCCGAGCTCTTCTCTTCCACCTTCAACTCGTATGAGCTGGGCATCGTTGACACTCCCCGTTCTCCGTCGAACATACCGGCGGCGCCCTTGAGGTCCGCCACAAGGGCCAAACCGTCAAGTTTGACTGGAGCGGCAGGGACCAGCAACCCATCCGCTAGGCTGCCTTTTATAGAGACTGCGAGCACGAAGTCCTTGAGATGACTGAGGGACATCGCAGAGGGGTTCATCGACTATTATTGCAGCCACACCTACCCGCACACAACAAACACAACGCTCAACTTCCTGCCTCCTGACGACCTCAAAGCCGCCGACATGCTCTTTTACGAGATATTCCGCTCCTTCGGGCTCAAGGTCGTCTCCCGCCCCGCTATCGACCGCCTGTTTCACCAAATGCGCCAAGAGCATTACGAGGACGGAGTCGACTCTGATAGAAATGTTGTAGGCTCTGATTCAAATGACCCAGGTAGTGCATATAACCGCTTCCTGCGTGAGTATGCAACCAACCCGGTGGCCATCGGGCTCTCTTGCAACTTCACACAATGGAAGGGAAGGTATGACGACCTCGACGACACTAAAACAGAGTGGAACAAGTGGACTGGGAAGCAAATGCCGGAGCGCAGAAAGTGGAATCGCCTAGAAAATGAGAGAATCTCCATGATGCTACGCGGAGGCGATCCAGGTCACGGCCGCCCCTTGGTTCAAAGTACGGGATTCATTGATGGGAAGGAAGTGTACTGGCTTAATAATCGCCATGGGCATACAGAGCCGCAGATCTCTTGGATTTTACGTGAGCTTACGTGAGTTAGTATCATTCCCACCAGGTTTCAAGCAAGCTAACGGACGGGGATAGTGTGGTAAATGAAGCGGAGCCTCGCATGACGTATTCCAGCCTTGCGCCCATCGCCGTGATTCCGAAAGGTGGAGGAGCTGAGAATGCTACAGACTTCGGCGCCAACGAGGCAGGAGAGACACACCACTTGTGGGAGCAGGTGTGGGTGACAGAAACCCACATCCCCTTTCTTTCGGGGTCATCCTTAGTGTACGTACTGTAGTCATTTTGAAATGCATCTAACTTTGCTCATCATATGAGATCGACTGCCTCCATGCCAGAGTTTGATTGCAAGATTCTAGGGCAACAAGCGTCGAGGGCCGGCGACAGAACACCTGTCTTTTCTGGTGGACAAATCATCAAGTGGTCCGCTGGCTCAATGGCAGAGCGTCTGACTACGACTTGAGAAAGTGATCAGGAGGTTCCAGGTTCGACCCCTGGGTGGATCGTGCGATCTTTTTGCCCCCACGAATGGGATCTCCTGGAGGAGTTTTGATGGCACCTGTTATGTCATCGACGGCAAGTTGCGTTATGAGCTTGCAAGGGATCCTAGCCATTCCCGTCTATCGAAAATTTAAACCCCAAAGTATAACCCATTCAAGGGGTTGCCTACCTTGTGGTGAAAAAGCCACCGCTCGCATCAAGCATCACCTGTACCGCCACAAAACTGCTGATGGGAAACCACGGACTCCAAGCAATTCACTTCCCATTTTGAACAGATAAGTGCTTCTCCGCCACTGCGAGAAGCGACAGGCAGAGGTTGAAAGTCAACACCATCTGCGCAACAAACAGCTTGGCCTTGGTGGAGCTCTCTTGCTGGCATTGGATTACCTCGCGGGTCCGCCTTCGGACAAACCTTGTAGAAACTGTAACTACGGTCGCACAGCTTTTTTTTCCCCTCACGTTAAACCTGCCCAGCCTGTCAAGTAAATATCCCGTTCATCCGCCTTCTTCATTGCTCTGCGACCTTTTTTAGCCGCTCTCGACGCTGCCATGTAGCTTGTGGTGAAATACCCAACTCGCTCGTAAACATCAGCCCTCACCCTCCTCAACACCAAACCCTGCACGTCTTCACTGGAGGACTTGAATTTCGCCCACTTTTTTGCGCGTTTCAGCACCAAAAAAGACGCGCAAACCAAATCCTTCGTGCCCGAACCTTCGGGCAACTCCACATCTAAGAATGCTCTCGCTGCTGGCTTTGCTTGCCGTTCTATTTGGACCCAGCAGTTGCCTGCGCCGGCGTCCCGCACCAAGTTAACAGCCAACATGGGCGTGCACAGTGAAATCTTCATCTGTGCAAGATCATCATCAGCCGGGCTTACATGGTCAATCCTCGCCAGCATCTTCTGATCCTGGATATCTTCTTTCGCGTTCTCGGGCAGCAGATCCAAGGCAACCACTCCCTCGATAGACGCCCAGGACCAAGTCGGGGCTACCGGTACGCCCTGGTCATCGAACAGCCTCTTTCCTGGCCCTTCAATCGCAAACCAAAGCAAATCAGTCACCAGACTGTTCTGCCACACCCCTTTCAGATACGTAAACTTGGTAGCCCTCGCGGCCTCGTCCTCGATGCCCTTCAGTGCCATCAACTTGTCCCTCGGCTTCGTCAACTTCATCCGCGAGTATGATTCCACCACATCATACCACACTTGACTGAAGCTGTCCCTCCCCACCTCTTTGCCTTTGGAAAACGCTCCCTCCCTCCTCAGCCTCTCAAATGCAGTCCTGAGTCCCATCAACCTTTCCTCCCCGTCATGCTTCTCATCCGTGTCCCAGCCGGCAGGATTCTCCTTCAAAACATTCCTCCAAAACCCCCTCTTCAGTTGCCCTGCCTCCTCGCTGCCCCTCGGCGCATCCGGGTCAATCATCGCGGGCGGCGGTCGCCTGGTGATGTAGCCTTCACCGCCCCAACTTAAGCGTTCTCCGTCCAACTCAGATTCTCGCGTCGCGCCTTGGTTCTCGGCGTATCCACTTAGGTCAGATGCGTAGATATCCTTGAAATCTACAGCGCACTTGTACGTGTAACCTTGAGAGTTGAGCTCGGATGCTGCTCGTCCGCAGCACTCCCAAAACATGATGTCTGCGCCAAAGTGCAGTAACCGACGAGAGAGAAGACGCTCCTGCATGACCCACCCGCGGGTGTTCAGGGGAGCCAAGTCGACGCCGCGGGTGAACTCGGCAATGTCATCCCGGCGAATGTAGATGAAGTAAGGAAGTAATGCATCGGACGAGGAGACGCCGATCTTGATTGGCAGCAGAGTGGACATTTCGCGACCGTGAAAACAACCCCCTGCGCTAGTATCGAAACCTGTCGAGGCGATTGTGCACGCGGCATTGGAGTAGACAGAGCCCATCTTCGGGGCTTCGGCGTCCCAGTCCGTCTTCCAGGATGTGTCCGAGGAGTTGGGCGGGTCGTACTGGATAATGCAGAGGGAGTCAATCCAGATGTAGCTGTAGCCTAGGGCGAGAGTCACGGTGATGGCGTCTTGCACGTTTCGTGACAGACTGGAGAAGTCAATGTGGTTGCAACAACAGGCGAGGTTGCTAGCCAAAAGCTTGAAGCGCATGTCAGACCGAGGACCCCAGCAGTGACTAGATGCCAGATACCTGTCACGCAGAGGAGCCTCGTCCATATCGGATGTGTTGACAACCCTGATGACGGACGGAGCTCTCCCCGGCTGCCACCCATCGCCACCAATAATTTCCACAATGCGTGCTGGGTGGTATGGAAAGGCGTTTCCGGGGCCTCGGCAGATCTTGTGGCTGTCTTTGTACTTCGACATCCACTCCTTTGCTTGTTCGAAATGTTCAGACGAGCTAGTTTTGGCTTGCTTGATAGCTTTCGACGCTGCGCCGTGTCAGCCTTGTCCATGGGTAATGCGTCCCAGGATTGCTCACTAGTGATGGAGGGCTCGCCGCGATGTACCAACAGTCGTCCTCCCACCGCCGTGCCGCCCCAGTGTAGCTGTACATACGTGAATGGAGAGAGCGGCCGTTCTTCCCACACCTTAACACAAGGGCGGCCCGTCACCGCGGCGTCATGGAATGCCACAGTAAAAGGCATAGTTGGCAGTCGGCTCGGGCAGAGTGTGGTATATCGGTCGTGTCCGCCGATGCATCAGAGGAAAATATGGCGATGAATTCCCCTCTGGTGTGAAAGTCGTGCCATTCAACCATGCGAAACAAGCCCATTCTTGAGCCCATGATAAGCCTAGATCTTTCGACAAAGGCGCATCTCCCACACAGACTGTTTAGACTCGACAGCCCAGCTTCTCGGGAGCTGAGAGGAAGCCGTCTGGCCCTGCTGACCCTCCATGTATCACTGAAGTAATAGAACGGAAAGGACTGCCAAATGACATTGAAATCAACATAATAGACGATGTAGCAAGCGAACAGGATGTACCGTAGCACCAATACGCTCGTCGTCCAAACCACGAATCTACCGAGCGATTGATCGGGGCGGATGACGAGGCCGAGTCCTAGCAGTAACCCGAGCAATGGCCGGTAAATCAGACTCGGCAAGCTAGTTGCGAAGCAAGACCACATCGTTAGTAGGTGGATCGACCAGGCAACCTACTGGAACGTCAGCGAATATGTTTACCAGAAGTGGTTGGAAATCCCCAGGACTCACAGTGCAGATTCCGGCAACATCTTGGTCCCACGAGGGCCACATATACTGGTGAAAGATGCCCATGGAGGTGAACCACATAGCCAGGGCAATGATAAACTGTTGCTTGTAGGCGATAATGGCGGTTACGATGATAGCGATCCAAGCCAACGCGGCAGTTAAGTAATGAATAATTCGAAGCAGGGGAAGATGGATCATTCCCTAGCTGCCGATGTAGCAGTTGAAGACGAGCAGTGCGAAGCTGACGATGGATGCCGTATTGTAACTTTTCTTCGGGTCTTCTAGAGCATAAGGTCCGACTATGAGGCTAAGCCATATGTGAAGGACCCAATATGTCGCTGTTGGCATCTGATAGTCAGAACTGATGCAGAGCCGAACCATCAACAAGATAGCTGAGAGGGTATACCCGGCCTCAGTCTCGAAGCTGACATGCCACATCCTACCGATGAACAGGAAACTGAACCACAGGCCGTACCAGCAATTCGGGGGCATGTCGTTGTTGCGGATGCGCATGACAATCAGGAAGTTGATAAAATTGAACGAAGAAGACGGGCTGTATTTCAGCCAGGACGCAGAGCCCCGACAGAATCCAGAACGCGATCCATCCCGCGTCTGCCATTGTGATGTTTCCCACTGCGGCCAACAAGTTGACCACGGTGCAGAGGTGAAGTCGAGAGCAATCGAAGTTGCTAAACTGAAAAACACGTTGGGCACCCATGTGTGGGGTGCGCCTTCTTGGCGCCTCCGAAGGCAAGAGCCACCAATCCCAGTGAGCATCACCAAATGCCAACAATCACAACTAACGCTACACAACAGGACGCCACCGAACATTCTTACCAGCGATGGGAACACCTTTTCTTCCAACAGCAACACACGGATTACCACCGCGAATGCGAGTCCCCATTGGTCCAAAGCACTTGCAAAGGATCCACAGCTAACGGGCACAGCAATCCGCGAACCAAGCAACGTCGGCCGTTGGGCCCGCTGCCGAAATGAGCAGAATCCTCCTAAGCGGTGGATCCCCAATATTAAAACAGTCGCGATTGCGCTTTTGCCCCTGCGCCCTCACTGTTGGTTGCTGCAGCCCATCGAAGAGTTGCAATACCACTGTAGGAGCATCATGGCGCGTCCAAGATACCCAGAGCCGCAGGCGATTTGGCGACTCGTTCCGCATGGGCTGTCGGCCTTGGCATGCGTGATTCTCATCGCGTTGTGCAGTTGCGCTGCGAACATCGGATTTGGGTATGGCAAAGCTTTGGCAGGGAGGTTCTTTGCGGTACGTATGCCGTCGAGGTTAAGGTGAAGAGACGCTGATTCATTGCCAGGGCTTTTGGGCGCTCGGTATCGACATCGCGCAGATCGCGGGACTTGCTGATGCGAAAAGACGCGTGCCTCGGCTTCCCACGTTGTATCTAGCCATCTTGGAGCTCTTCACGGCCGGCTTGGTGATCGTCTTGGCGATGTTTACTTTTGCTCTGAATGGGTATCTGGAGGGGTGCAATGTCAATGTGCCGATTACAGATTGCGACCATGTGGATGAGCGCCTCAGGGCCAACAGGATCACTGGGATATCGTTTGTATTCGTTATTCCTATTGCGTAAGTTAATGCAGTGTCTTTCGAGTCATGACTTGGTTTAGGCTGACACAGGACTGCAGAATACTGCACTTTATCTCGTCCATCTTGGCCTGGGTCGACTTTGCTGCATCCCGTAGGGAAAAGTGATGGAGCCCAGGCTCGATCAGGGCATGGGACTCGGAATTTCTCAACTGCACAACAATCAATCGTTTAGGGTCCAAATGATCTACTGCACAACATCATAT